AAGCTTTAATGAGTTACCATAAGAAGAATAAGGCCCACTAGTATTTTGAATACCTACCAGCCCAAAAAGTGCTGCTTAGAGGTAATAATACGTTTTGATCCCTAAAGTATTCCTGATCTTCTACTCTAGTGTCTCAATGTCTTAATTGGTTTATTAGCAAGAAAGAACACTGGTTTAATCCTTCTATTTACACTCCAAAAATTACAATTCGTACTGTCAATGTTTTATTATTAGTCTAATTTGATAACGGATCAACAAGAGTTGTTCAAGAAATAAGAAATCTTCCAACTTTGGTAATGAATAATTAACAAGAACTTTTCGAAAATATAATTATAATTTGTACTGGTGATCTCTTGCTTCTTAATTTCTTATAGATTCTGCCTGATGGGCCTGTTTTAAACCTTAATCTGCCACCTTTAAAAATAAAAAATAAAAAAAATAAAAATCATTTTCACCTTTCTTGAATCTTGGGTTCTTTTCTTCCTTTCTTCTTCACCATAAATTTTTATTTTATCAATTTTCTCCCCCTTTTTTTCCCCAGAACGTCTACATAACATTTTGAAGGTTTCTTTCAAAGAAGGAGTACTCTTGCCTTATCATGTTATTTGAAGGCCGGATTTAGACTTGCTTCTTGACCAATTCTTAACACAGAGGACAAATTAATCTGTACTTGGATGTCGAAGGTGTGGAATTGTTTGGCCACGATGCTGATGATCATCACGGAATTGCCTTTTCTTTTTTAATCTAAGTATTTCTTTAAAATTAAGCTCTTACGTGTGTGACACATAAGATTGGTAGAATATTAAGAAGGGGAATGAGATAAGGTTGATGAAGAATTGAGATGCATGCACTTGGATCGATGTGCAATCTTCTATAATCAAAGGTTTAATAAGAAATTGAATCCTTGGCTATAAAGTTTTAGAAACTCTGGCATCAGCAAATTGACGACATGGTGGCGCAATACTTAATTAGTTTTATAATATTTTTATTTTATTTTGTTAAAACTAGATTACTTCTTGCCCGGGTGGACAAAATTCTTTTTTATTGTAAAAAAAAATAATGTTTATGCTATAGAAATTTTTTTAACACTATTATTATAACTAATCTAATGAATTTGAAAACCTTTAATTTGCTTTGTGTTTTTCTAATTAATTTTTATTTAATAACATGAAAAATAAATACTTGTAAAACTAATGATTAACCTAATGTCATGATGTTTTGTACAATATAAGCACTATTTTGTAAACCAAATCTATTATGGTTTTAAAAGAAAATTTAAAATAAAAAATTCAAACAAATTCACAATATTTTGTATGTTGTTGAAGGAAAGAAAAACATTAATAAATGTGATAAAATTATATAAAAATATATTAAAAACATTAAAAAACATAATATTTATATTAATAAAATATTCATGAGTTTATATATAAATCAATTATTTTTAATGCTTTGCTCTTTCTATTTATCTCCTTGGTGTTAAATTTATCATGTTTAGATCGAGTTTAAACGGGTTAATCAAATCATTAAAAATCCACTAGAATTAACAAATTTTTATCAACTTTATAGTTTATTAAATTCAATTAAAACCTTGCTCATCAATTCATCAAACTAGCTTTAAATCTATGATTTTAGATGAACACAGCACCAATTTGAATGTATTATGCTACCTTTTTAAAAATGATTGAAAAAAATTTCTCGATTGATGTGTGGATTAGTTTAAAAATAACATTAACCTAAAAAATTCCATCCTCAGCACACGGGTTCACAAAACAATTAATACAAACCATAGAAAGCCACTTGCTCACCAACAGCCAGCTATTTTACAACAGAACATTTCCCAAATGCCTTTATTTTCATTTTATAATCAAATGACCTAAAAGTTCTATTTCACGTTTCCAAGTTGTCTGTTGAAGGGATAAAAAAAACATAATAAAATCACAATTGGCAACAATAAGTTAGCATCTGTTTGCCTTGAGTTCTGTAAATATGAATATGACCGTTAAAGGCCACTGCATAAGGTATCTTCTTTCCTTTTCCTTTGTTTCATTACTTGTTATTGCCGATGAGATGTGAATAATTTGTCGATGTTTAGGTATGGGACTCTACGTATCGACGATAAATGCTGAATTATTGATGAAATCAGTCAATGAGGATTTGGAAAGTATTTCCTCCTAAAATTATTATTAACCGTGATATTACCAATTCAACCTATTAATTATATTTTATTTTTTAAAAAATAAATAAATGTAGTGTGATTTAAACTTACTACAGCGGTTAGTCATCAAAATTCTGATGTTATTTTATGTTAAAAAATCAATTTTAATGAGACCCTCAAGGTATAAACATTTGATATTTGATTTTACAACAATTTTTATTAAAGGACTATATATATTCTATTACAAAACTTTATTGTAAGTTGGTTTCTTTATAGTGACGTCTATTTCTCAAAATTATTTCTTAACATAGCCTAATTAAATTCATGCAGTTTGTAGGAATGATAATGTGTTCTCCATCCACAATCAAAGCACTTGAATCTAGGCTTCCGTTTATAAAACAAACTCACTTTTCCGATGAGTATCTAGTACTTGGTATAATATTTTTCTCTCTTTCACGTACGAGTAAGGGTCATGATGTATTATCATGGGTGCATGAAAAGAGAAAAGCACTATAAGTACTAAATGTGTATTTAATAATGTTTTTTAAAATATTTTTTAATTAAAAATATATTAAAATAATATTTTTTGGTATTTTATTTTAATTTTTAACATTAATGCATCAAAATCTTTAAAAATCACTTACAAAATTATCAATTTAATATTTTTCAAATAAAAAACAATTTAAAAAACATATTGAATCATAAAAACAAACCTTTCTAATCCCGAACTTAATAATCCCAACCTTAATCCCCCATTGATGAGAAATATGTGCGTGTGTGTTTTGGGATACATAGATTCCCACACTTTACAAATTATTTATGTTGCATATAGTTAATATTCTAGAGTGAATAAACACATACAAAAAAGATAAAAATATATTTAATTGAAAAGAAAAAATTAAAGATATAAAATAAATTTATTTCTAATATAGTTTTGAAATGATTTTTTTTTAAATAGTAGTTGTAGAGAGATATGTCATCTCTGTCTCCATGATCTATGACTCTTTTGTAATGAAATAAAAATGTGACAGAGATAAATTTATTTGTACATATTTTTATTTTTGTCACTGCACCAAACATGTTTCTATTTTTTTTTATGTATTTATATACTCTGTTATACAACACTAACCAAATTAAACACAACCTTAAATACTTATGTGATATGGTGTTTTTTCTTCCTATCCTTTATTAAAAAAAAAATTCCCTTTTTATGCATATTAAATTTAGATATTAGTTAAGAAGACATATGGTTTTGAGAATATATAGATATTGAGAAGATATCACAACAACTACTTAGATATATATAAAATTCAAATAAAAGACATGTTTGACATGTATATATCATCTTTGTGCCGCAAGAATATATATATTGGAAACTTAGCTAATGGCCCATCAAAATTATTGAGTTATTCAAAATGTACAAGAACGTCGAATGCATATATACATATACACAAACGCAGTCGTGTGCGTGTGCAATATCTGAAGTCATGGGTTGGTTCATCAGCGTAAAGCACTATGCTATGGTCCCATACAAAAAAACTAGTTTCATTTTTTTATTAATTTGTCTATGATATTCAATTAGTTTCATCTAAATTCTAAATTACCAAAGGTGATGCAAGTGGCTGTCATCTTTTTTTATCTCTTTGTCTTAGATTCAATGCATCTCTCTTTGTTTCTCCAGACACTATTATTTATTTAGGTGGTTTCTACAAAGAATATGAACGCAAAATCTTGTCGGGATCACATAATAATCCAAGTTGATTCTCGGAAATACCACTTGAATTCTACCTTGATACTAGTTAATTACTTTATTAGTTCGTTAATTATTTTTCTCTTACCTGCTTTCTTTCTTTCCAGTATAATAATTAACGACTACAACTCGAAGCGTGCTGTGGCTTCTAAGACCTCTCTGGTTGCTTCACATTGAGATCAAGACCTGTCTTATAGAAAATAAAAAAGACCTGTAAAAATCAGAATCCTTCAAATTACAGATCAGAAATGGGCACACAGTTGATGAGAATATATCTAATTAACTGATTAGTATTTCTAATAACACCATTCGATTGTGTACATAAAAAAACAATTAACTCCAGGCTTCATCTTCACAAAAAAAAAAAAAATTCACACGTGAGACTGTTCAGTTCCAGGCTGATTTTGAAGGAGGAATGATGCCTAACTAAGATATAATATTAGTAAGGATAATTAAAATTAACAACCAAATAGCTGGACCTCTTTCCCTTTTGATATTGTATACACAAACGAACACTATTCTCAAAATTTAAAATTACCTTAATTATGGCTAGATTGGGGCAAGGATTACGGGAACCCCCGAGCCAAAATCAATCAAAAAACACAGTACTTTACCAATATTAATTGTTTATACCCCTTTTATCGTGCAATTTGGACAGCAGATTACCTTAATTTGTGAATATCTAAAGCACTTAGTTCATTGAATCCCTGCGGCTTTGTGCTCTACTCCTCTTATGTGAAAAGCTGGAATTTATTTTGACATTGCAAGTGCTAGTCATTCGCCTCACTTTTCCACTATGCTTTTGAACCTTGACGCAAAATGCATGACATTGTTATGATCTGCTGACCTAAAGCCTGATGTTGTGGGTTTCGTGTATTTTTTTTTTAAAATCCTAGCTTAGATTGCCTCGTATAAACCCGCTCAACCCAAGCCCCCGCCAGGTTGACCCTAGGTGGGGGTCTTGAGCTGTAAACAGATGGAGATATATTATACATGACGGTATTTTTACCAATCTAGATTTTCCATCAGAAATTCAACAATCAAATCATGGATTCGTCATTGCATGGAGCGTTTTGTAAGAGAAATGCATAAACATCACAGAGAAGAAGATGCCAAAATATTATTTCTACTTTCCGTTGAAACAAGAAAATCTCACAAATTCTCGAATCCATACATATAAGTGTGTTCACGGGTGCCTGCGCATACAAGCCCGTGAAATTCCAATTCCCAAATCTTCGTAGCTCTTATGAGTCGATACGATACAATCTTAATCAGGCTGTGGGATTAAAATGCAATTTGAAAAAAAAAAAGATCATCTTATGAATCGATTCGATCTCTTATCCCAAGTAAAGGCCACTGCTCTACATTTACCAGAAACTAAAAGCCATCTTGTTCTATGTTGCAATACGAACAGCAATGAGATGAATAGGGCTATGCCTTGTTCGGACAATCAAGTGGAAAGCAAATAGCATAGCTATGGAGAATCTTCATCACCATCTTGCATATTCAAGAAGCAGCAATAATTACCAAATGCTTCTTTTTATACACTCCATGCATCACATAATACTGGAAAGTATACTTGAGAGCTCGAATGATCTCTCCTCTTTCTTCAAGAATTTTTACATGATCAGCAGAGAATCAGCATCACCTCATAAACTGATTAATTAAAAGAAGAATGCAAAACCAAAAAAAAGTTTGTGATGGATTTAAGGCAAGAAAACAACAAGGGAAATGATATATCAAGCATAATCTTGATGTAGTACAGATTTAATCTTGCAACACAGATATATATCAGGGCCAGTTCTCTTGGATGAACCACCAGAAGGCTCTATACAGAGAAAGAAAGGATCGTAGAATAGAGAGGAGAAAAATCAGTATGCCTTTTGTTATCAAACTGCACTAGTGGTTTCCATGTTGGGCATTTGTGATGACCTTAAGGCCAATAAAACAAGAAGGGACAAGATCATGAGCGGTACAAAGAGAAGAACCAAAGGTGGCGGTGGTAATGGTGGCAGCACCAGTGGTAGACCTAGAATAGAGATACTCAACACAACCATAACCATGATAAAACTGCTTGTTCTACAATAGCTTACCATCAAACTTTCGCTTGCTGAATTTTCTCTTTCTCCAAGTCAAATAACATCAGCCCGCCTCGATTTCCAGCTCATAACTCGTTTTCATGGGCCTCCATTGTTATAGCTTTTAGTGTTCAAGAGAAGGACTTAATTTCAGGTTACTGAAGGGATGTTTATGTAGAAACGAGAAGTTAAAAGATCGAACTGAGGGTTAGAGAATTGTAACGAGGCCAAGTGGTTCTTAGTTTATGAGTCCCTTTTCAAACCCTAATGCTAGCTATGTCCTGATTCAACTAATCTGAATGATGTAGCTAATAAATAATGACCATTAATGGCGGTTAATGCAATTTCTCTGTTTATTCTATGCCTAATATATGATATTAATTTTAGTTACTGGCGAAGCACATTCAATTAGACCAAGACAATTAATACACTAAGAAATCTCTTTCTTTTCTAAGCAATGATATTTTATAAATTCAAATCTGGACTTTGATTTTTTTTTTTCCAAGTATAAAATGATTGTATAAATAAATTAACTGATCACGCATCCAACGAAAAATATTATTTTATTTACACACACCGTTTCAGGGCTTGAGAATGTTTATGTGAATATAGATAATAAGAAGTAAATATGCTTTTTTGAAAAAAAAAATGTGAATATAGATAATAAGAAGTAAATATACTTTTTTTGAAAAAAAAAGAAGTTACATTACTTAATTAAATTGAAAAATTTAGACGAAACATCTAAATTACAAATGGCATCACAAATGCAAATCCTTCAAGTTAAGATTTATGTAAAAATACACACACACACATTTCTTGTACCAAAAATTAAGAATTAATTTCACTGATTTTCTTTTTAATTTTATCCTTAATTTTTTTCATAGGCCTGTCCCTTTTCAAAATTCTAGTTCCGCTTCCGTGTACACTTGGCGCAACCTTTAACCTTTGGGTCAATCCACTCAGGCTAAATTATAATTATAATTGCCTCTCTGTGTGTGTGTGTGTGTGTGTGTGTGTGTGTGTGTGGTGATGGGTTTACAAGTATATGGAAACAAAAATCAAGCTATAACAAAAATTGACTTTTTGGCTAAACTTTTTCGTGTTATTGTGTAAATCGTCGGTGGATAATTCATGGAAAGTAATTTTAACGATGATAAATCCAGTCCTAACAAGAACTTAATGGCACATTAAGCTGATTTAGACGGTGTAAAATGCCATCATTGACATACTCGTGACTGCTGATGCATGATGTATAGTCATTTACTCACCTGGCCACCATAATTACCATACCGATAGCAATTAGTAGAACTAGTCCTGCCAAAGGACTGTGGAATTATTTTGGAAATTATGCACACAACTATCGAGTGGTCATGTTCATGCATGTCATTGATTACGGCTGCAACAAGCAGATACGGAGGAAAGCTGCTTTTCTTTTTTTAGAGTCAAAATTTTAATTTTAATTTTATTTTTAGAATTAAAAATCTAATTTATTAAAAAAGAAAAGCTGAAAATTTGTTTTTCCTAGCAGGGCCAGACCTCTCCTAATTCTTCCCTGGCAACAAGTCAAAACTGTTGAAAATTAAGGATGCTATCCATTTAACGCACACATAAAACATTACACGCACAAATTGAACACTCCTTCTTCATGAAATTCCTTACTGTTTGGTCACTGGTGGTAATGGAGATGGTGGTGTACTATGTAATAAAAAAAAATTGGTAATGGAGATGGTGGTGTACTATGTAACAAAAAAAAATAAATAAAAAAAGCTACTTTGAGCAATTTTTTTATTATAATAGTTGAGGTTTTAATATTAATTGGTGCCAGTGCCATAAAGCTAATAAAAAACTAGCAAGAAAATAATTTGTTTCTGACCAATTAAATTCTCCACAACATACCACAAGTTAACATTCACTATAATTTTCCTTAAACAATAAATTCCCATTCAAACAACAATGTCAAAGTAATTCTATTGATATTTTTCGCAACAAGCTTAAGAATTTAAGTCGTCCCAGACGTCAAGTTTAGCCACGTTGGTTCCTTGAATATTAAGTATGAACACAAACGTGCATGCATATACTCTTCACTTGAACGGGGAATTATTCAGCATATCAGGAATTGTACTTCTGACTCTAATAAGAATATAGGACTCGAAAGTTATTTTCATACCAGTTACAATATACTTAATTATTTCTCAAATTGTTCGAGGACATAGTTACTATTTGCATTTGTCTTAAATTAACTGATACTCTAAAAGGGACTATTCTTAATCTCCCTCATGTAGTTCACAACCATTTCGGCATGGTTTGATCTGCTTTGATTTGTTTTACTGTTCAATCTTTTTAGCGTGTGTTTATTATTGTGTTGCAGAATATTTTTTAAAAGTATTTTTATTTTAAAATTTATTAAAATATTTTTTTAATTTTAACACCAACACATTAAAATTATATATACTAAATACATTTTTAAAATGCATCCGTTTAACACCAACACATTAAAATTATATATAAAAAAATACTAAATACATTTTTAAAATGCATCCAAGCATCGTTTCAAACACAAAAATAAATGATACGACGGTCAATAATATCCAACTAATAGATAAGCTTTCGGTGTCTAGACTTCCATGTAGAAGGTATAGGAAGCTCATCAAATAAAATTTCTAAGATCACGTGTCATGATCATAGTGTTAAAAAACATTATCATATAGAGAATCTAGACTTCAATTACGAGAAAAAAGTGAAGGAAAGAAGAAACGAAAAGAGAATGGTTCCATAGAACACGTATAGATCCCAAAAATCAAGGGCTGATAAAAACTTTGACTCTCGTAGATGAACGTTTTGTGGGAGTCAAACCCAACATATCGAGAATTTATTGGTTCTAAATAATATGTGGCCAATGACCAACATACAATGATGAATGCAAATTGACATATGACATGTTTTTCTAGATGATTCATTGCACCAAGTTCTCTGATCCTACATTTAGAGAATACCATCACATAATGAAACGAGCATAAAGGGTTAGATGTTTGAATAAATTGAGCGAATGGTTTTTCTTTCTTCTTTTTTCTAAAGAAACCATCATTCTATGTCGTGCTATAATAAACTATCAAAAAAATAAATATTTTTTTCAACATTAATGAATCTCGTTTAAAGCATGGGCATTCCACCTCTTGGATATTCATTTGTTCCCTTGAGTGCTAACAATGACTATTAAAAGGTGGCATGGATGATTTTGTTTTCCTATTTTGAGAACTAATATATAGGCCAGATGTAATACGATTATTAAAATGATTTGAGAGAAACTATTCACATTTATTCTGAAGAATAATATAGATTTAAAGAGGCGAGAGAGAGAAGAGAGAAAATAATAAAAAAATATTTTTTTAATCTGAGTACGTACAAATATTCTTTTTGTTTTTGGTAGGTTACAGATTTGATTTATCTTCTATTATCTATTTATCTGTCTTTAATATAAGTTAAGAGAGTAACCACTCATTTACTCCCATAAACACCCTATAATTTTCAATACAACTTAAACAAAGTTGAAATGCAAGAGAAGATAATTAGAGGAGTTTATTAAGCGCATAAAAGGCTTTTTTTTTTTTGTTGCTTTCTTTTCATAAAATACATATAGGAAAGCTCTTACCTTCACAAGAGTTCAAGAGATCAAAATTTGTAAGCTGTTCACTGAGGTAAAATGCATTAATCGTCATGTATATATCATGATTTTAGATGATTTTGATCAATGATGGCAGTGGGCTGGGTTGGAACTAGATTTTGTTCCATTCATTTCAATTCTAAATATCTAAATTCATCGCCTATCTACATGTCTAACACAGTCAAATATGGTCAGGTGGAGGAGTTTCTTCACCCAACAAGTATCCTCTAGATACTTGATTTGATTTATTTATTTTTTAAATTAACTTTATAAAAGAACAATCTAAATAAGATTTTATTTATTTTTTAAATTAACTTTATAAAAAAAATCTAAATAATATTTTTTTTAAGAAAACTATATCTTTTCATAAAAAAACTACATCTCTATCCATAAATTATAAATAATAAAATAGATTCTAAACTTCAAAGATATATATAAAATCATAAAAACCCTCCATGAATACGAAAAAATAAATTATAAATTCATAAAATAGAAACAAGTTAAAGAATCGGGTTAAGGCTGGATCAGGTGATGGGATAGGTGAACCCTTCACCTCTCTTTTATCCATCTTTGATTTGACACTAATCTACTCAGAAGGCACATTGAATATCCAATGAAAGTCGAGTGAAATTGTCATGTGTTTTTTTAGGCATTGATGCCATCTTTTATTTTTTTTGCTAAAAGACAAAACAAGACACTTTCTCTTCCTTTGGCGACATTTTGATTCGCCATTACAAGCAAAGGAGTCCCCGCCCACCCCAAATCACTAAAATGCTAAATTGTTTTACTCTGATACGATATCCTTCTTCTGTTTGATGCTCAAGATAATTAAAATCAGTACTGCAAATTAATTTTCTGCCAATAATGCTTCAACTAAATTACATCAATGCGAAGAATCAAAAGCTCTAAATATATATTTTCCCATTTAGCCTTTCTTTCTCTTGATCTCATGCTAAAGATATTTAAGGAAGGTCCATTGCAGTGTAAATGAATTATATTCACACTAAGAAAAATTTGGCAAGATGTAACTATCTAAGGCAGGCACTACTAATTCGGTTCAGTCACCAACAAAAAAAAAATCACACTTTCTGCCATCTTGGTAGGCTGCGGTACACTGATCAAAGCTGAAAGCGAAAAGAGCCTAGCCGCCGCTGGTAATTGAGGGCTACTAGTTAGTGATAAATAGTGGCGATAGAACATGTTCAGTGAACCTGAAAATGGAAATTGTTATAGTATTCTAAGAGGAAATTAAAAAAGAAGAAGACGAAGTAGAGGAGAAGAAAAACAATTGACTGTTGTGCTCCCTAGTTGTCATGCAATTTCTTTATTGCAGTCTGATTTTGTTTTTGTTTCCTATATATTTTGGTTAGGTAGCTTTTTTTTTTTTAATCTTTATTCATCTATATTGGAGCTGTAAAGGTTTTTTTAGATGAAATTGTTAAAGAATCATTTTAACTTAATAATTTAAAGTTTAAAATATAATTTATATTATTTTTTAACTAATCTTTTATTTTACTGTTATTGGTGCTATAAAACACTTTACGAAGAGAAGAAAAGGTTATGCCTTGAGAATTCTGGCTTTGTATTTATGTTGTCTATTAGCTTCTATTACTAGCACATGCACAGATGTTAAGGGAGGGAGCTCTTTTGGCAGATGGAAAGCCAGCTCCTTTTGCTTTCAATACCAATTTCACATTCTCTGAACATGCATGCATATCTACCCAACAAAAATAATTCAATAAAAAAGGGAGGAAACTTCTCTCTCTCTATATAGGACAGGTTAATTCTAGTGCACTGAAAGGGAAATGATCCTTCCGAGGTTAGGATTTTGATCTAAGCTTGAAGCTATACATTTTTTTAGCTATACCGATTTGCTTTACCTCATCGTGAAGGAAAAGTGCTGAGCGCAGGTTTCGAAGGATTTCAATCAAAATTAATGGAATATTTTGATTTTGCAAATGCCAAAGACATGTAAATGCTTACTCCGGGCGTTATTACGAATACCAATGTCGATTTAATTTGATTAAAAACACTGCTAATTCAAATTGAAACTTTCTTCGGTGCTTTATAATTAACTAATCTTGATGTCCACTTTCCACTAATACAAATTATTATACAATGCAAAACCATATGCTTAGTCAAAAAGAGATAGAATTATATTTATCGATGATACTCATCTAATAAATAATTTGATCTTAATCACCTCTAATTAAGATCCTTAAATGATTTTTTTGGATTTTTTTAGTTGATTCTAACTGCTCCACAATCTTCTCTACATTATATTTTCTAATATTCTCCTCAAATCCATGGAGATTTGAAGTAAAGTTAGATGGATTTGATACTCTAGAAAGTTAAGATATTGATTTTGATGATTTTCATAAAAATAGCTTTTTTCAATAGTTGTTTTAATTGACATGAGAATTATGCTAAGCTTTTTCTTTAACACATTTACTTTAATAATTTTTTTTAATTTAAAACTTATATATATTGAGAACGGTAAGATTTAAATCTGTAACTGCTTAATTAACAAGTTTTTATATCATGTTAAAGAGTTTTCTCAGTTAAAAAATATAAACTGTTAAGTAAAATTTTAAAATATAATTTATATTATTATCTGATAAAAAACAACAAAAATAATTTACCTACATCCTATTTGGAGATACATGAATCTTATCTACTAATAAGTTTAGGCTATAATTTTCCGATATCTTCTAAATCTTTTTTCTTTATAAAATTATTAGAAAAGTATAATGATAATAAAAAATAAAAAAATAATCTCTTAAATGTTGAAAAGATGGAAACTATTGATAATGATAACATAATATGGAATTGATGAAAAAGAGAACAAAAATAATGCTCCAAGATGATAACATAAAAAATAAAATAAAATAAAAAAGAATTGGACTGAACGATTATATTGGATTGTTACGTATGGCTATTTTGATTGATTCTAATTGCTCCACGATCTTCTCTCACACTCGGTTTATATAAAACACTAGGATGAAGCCTATACCAAGTGAAACAACAGTTAACCAATTGATGTTTCAAAATCCACAAGATTCATTGAATTTCATGATAATTTAAAGTCAAACTTCTCACTTGGTTTTTTTGCAAGATCCTCCAGACTTGGTTTTTTGGCAAGATCCTCCAGGATGTTAGGATGGTGTCCGTTGTTCCACAATTTAGCTGCTTTTCTTTTTGTTAGACAATAAGAAAATTTCCCGGTTAACTGATAATTTCTGTTCCTAATTACCTTCCCTAGCTAGTTCCTGTCACTCTTCAAAAAGCCCACCTACATATTAGTTCATGCAAGTTTTTTTTTTTTTTTAATAGAACCAGCATTAATTTCTTCTGGTTGCTTGTTTTCCATGCCCAAATTAGCTCAAACCTGGCACATGCCAATACAATCTTTCTACTAATTTTATTTTCTGAATGGAGCTCATTTACAATCGCATTCCCCCCTCCCCCCCCCCCCCCCCGCAGTACTCTTCCTTAATTAAGCTTTCGGTCCCCCATTAACGAAAAGTAGGAACCTGTCGTCAAATTTATATGTCTATCTCAGCCCCTGTTATTGTGGAGTGTGCATGAACGTACGTACAGATTCTCACTTCACTTTCAATCTCAAGAAAATTGCATATAAACATTAACAGTGCCTGTCTATTATAATAATGAGCTCCAAAGGCAGGGCTTGTACAGATGCTATACATATACATGTGTCACACACAATCTTAAAGGAACGGGAAAAGAAAACAACAAAGAACTTCTGTCCATTCGACCTATTCTGTAGTGCCAAATCATGAAATAAGAGAGGGGGGCCATGGACTTATTGCGTTGGAAGCTCAAAAGTTCTTTGAATCTGTTTCAAGGCATTGCATGAATCATCCGTGAGTAGAGGCCCCAGACATTTATTAGGTGAGACTTAACAACAACATAGATCATACCCTCATCGATCTTGTCCTTCATTGTCTAACAGAGCGATTTCTAAAATATCTTAGGCATTGAAAATTTTGAAGGAAGCCTAAAATTAATGGGTCTTGATTAACTTCACGACTGAAAGCTTTATTTGTATTCATTTTCTTCTATTACAACATGAATGGAAAAAATGTACTACCTTTTAGTACTCTAAGAAGCTCGCTATTATTTCTTGCACAAGGAGCTAGCATATATACCAGTCTTGAAGATGGATGCCCTCACTATATATATATATATCGAGGAAGATCATCACTTGCTTCCTTTAAATGAAAGTCCTAACGATGCTTCATGAACAAGCTGAGAGTCCATATCGAAATCAAATGGCCCATGAAGAATTTGAAGCAATGGCCGCCTCTGAACCCATCTCAAGATTAGGGCAATTTCCCTTTTCATTTCCTCATCGCTTCTGAGTAGAATGACTAAAAGAAACCTCATAGGCTCCTAGCTCGTAGCGCAAGTTTCCTTGGAGATCTCGGATACGAATAGAGGAAATACAAATGAACAAAAGGAGATGAAATGAGCTTGAGAGTACCTAGGCTAATCAGGCCATTTGACCTCCTCCACAACCTCCCACCAAAAAGGAAAAAAAAAAACAATTATATATATGCACATATAATTACATGCAATTTACTACTTCCTCCAAAATTAATGACAAATTAATAAGGAGAAACAACTCTTCCATTCATCAAAAAGGAGAAAAAAGATGGGAGTACTTTATTTAATCTATGGATCATATAGATGGAGTACAATATTTAGAACACATGCATACCATCATCCTTTCTATATATAGTATATTCAAGCTATCTATAGTAGCGGCATGCAGCAAAGCAATTGGCCCTGGAAAGATGGAGATAAGGCGAACATGACTAGAACAGACATAATCATGACCGGCATAAAGAGAAGAAACAGCGGTGGAGGAGGTAGTGGTGGTAAAACCGGAGGCAACATAAGGAGAATCAAAGTTAACACAACCATGAACATGATCGATCTTGTGCTATAATACCTGGGCATCAGTTCTTATAGTAGTCAAAGTTTTTCTTCACAACCATGAACACTAGCTACTCATGTTCATCAGCTTCCATTGTCGAAAGATTGAAGAAGGAAAGAAAAAATGGTTTGCTTGATGAAGTGTTTTTATAGAAACCATGATTTGAACTGCTTTAGGGTTAAGAAAACAGGGAGGTAGATTATTTATGCTTTTAATTGAGTGTGGACAGATGCATTTCCAGCCCAAGTAGCCATCAGCCTATCACTCTCAAACCCCACTATTTGCTTAGGCTGTATGCATGTCTTGGTTCAACTAATCTTAATGAATATACATAAAAAATTGTATAGTGGCCATTAATTTTTTTTTTCTTTAGGTAGAACGCAGAAACGTCAAGTTAATCCTTCATTTTCTAATAGGGATGTTTATCTTCGGGGTGTCTCATGTTTTTTTTTTTTCCCTTGTACTCTTATTTTTAAGACCGGCATAGATATATTAAAAAACTATTTTAATTTAAAAATTTAAAATGTTAAATAAAGTTTCAAATATAATTTTACTTGAAATATGAACAAGTGTATCATATATTATCTTATCTTATGTTTAATCATTTAATTTAATTAAAAAAATGAGAACTATTTATTAAAATTTTGATACTATATTACAAAAACATTTCAACATAAAAATTTAAGTTATTAAATATAGCCTTAGAATAGTTTTATATTATTATTAAAAAAAAAGATGAGAAGAAACATTTTTTATTTATTTATAGAAGATCTCTTTATTTGGTGAGATTGAGGAAATTAACCCACAGAAGATAAAGATTTTGGGAAGATCTCTTTATTTGGTGAGAGAGTGGAGATTAACCAAAAGAAGAAAAGGAAGGATCTCTCCTCTACATGATTCTGAACTTATAATTTTCTATTTATCCAATTCAAAAGATCAGTTATTGTCTCTTCTTTTTATATTAACCAAACACACATTTACCCACAGAATCAGATAAATTTGATTGATATTTGTCCTTTCTAGTATACGTAATTTTTCTATCATTTTCTTCTATCATATATCATCCTTTGCTAACGAGTCAAAGTTTTAGGACAAGAAAATGGATGAATATACTTAACTTTAATTTAGCTGACAATTTGAAAACATTGTCTTTATACATGTTTTTTTTAAAGAACATCAAGTCCTTGAGGTTCTATAGATGCTGCTCTTAATTAATAGATTCATCCAGACTAGAGCTGCATAACATCAAACACGCCCCTTCTTGACCTCAATTGGGATCAAATCTAACTTGGCTAGGTTTCACATACATTACTATATATTATAGACTTTTTTTTTTTGAAAGAAGCTGATATAATTAATCAGAACATGAGCTTGTTCTTATAGAATGAAACACAAGTAACTGTACTGTAAAAAGATAAGCCTTCAGCATTGAAGTGTAAAGAAATCGAACCGTATAATTATATTACTATTTATAACTTGTCATTTTTTTTACAGTCAAAGTTTAAACAACTTTACACCCATGAACCGTGTTTTAAAATCGTTCATACGATAGATTTCCTTGATTCTTACTAGCTAGACAAGTTAAAAGAAAGGAACCAGAATAAAAACCTTTTTAAATAAAATTAATAAAATGGCTTGAGTCGATTTGCATAGCACTCTCTCCCTTCTCTCTCTGTCTCTCTCTCTTTCTCCCTTAATTATTATTGCCTATGTCGACTCTTTTATTGTTTTTAGTTACTACCATGTATGTTGAGCTGTACAAGCTCCAACTTCAGCTAGAGCTTTCGTAGTGAAAACTACCACATAAATAAAACTACCATCTTTCATGGTGAACTACTTAAAATTTCTTCTAAAGTATGCCATGTAGCTACGTGCCACCCCCAACATTTACATTAGACCACAAACAATGTCAGCTACATGTGACAAAGACAAACTACTTTATAAGCTACTAAATAGAATTGCCACCTTTCATCATGAGTTGCCCCAATTTTTTTTCAAGGAAGGTTATATATCTTTGGATTTAGCAAGAGAGAAGGGGTATTTTTTTTCATCTAAACAACACCAAAAATCACTTCAACTATATCTCTATTTACATTTCTTATACTATATTTTCCTTTAAATAACCCCTAAATTGACTTAAACATTAAAGAATTATTTTATAAGCAACACCCATTGTCCTACCTATTATTATTCGTAAATTAGTTTAGGTTCAGTAAAGTTTTCTCAACTTCATCAATGAAGTTGTCTATGAAATATCCGTGAACAAAAACCTTGTTTGTTTCCCTTTATAATCTTTCTTATCACTCATTTATACATGATCCTAAAGTTTTCATATCGGATAACACTAAACACTAAAAGGAAAAGTTATTAACCTCCTATCATCCTTTTCAACTTCAATTAATCTTCAACAACTCACTTAATAGATGAGAGCACTAACAAAGACTGTGTTAGCTATCTAATAACAACTCATAACAACTCAGGGCTCTCCCTATTTATCCATAAAATATGTAAATTATTATATAATTGTATGCACCTCTTATTGCACCAATTCTATCTCTTGTGCAACAACAACTCTAATTTGATATAGAGCTACTTAATATCATGATGCTAGGGTAAATAATGTAAGATTCAAGGTGATGGACTTGATATTAAAGAAATTGGAGGCAATTGATAACACTTAAAGAAAAGAAAAGTTGACACCAAAATAAGATGACCTATTTAAAGTGATAAGGGTGCTTAAGTCTAACACCTATCATTTACAAGATAAAAAGAAAAATAAAAAACTTCCTCATGCATGACATTCAGACCATTTGAATATATATTTTTACTGAATGCTCCTACATTAATATAATCAAGCTAGGTCTTCAATTCTCCCACATCTTCAATTAGCTTTTGTGTATCTTCGACAAGTTTTATATATCCTATATATATGTTCCACTTGGTATTGGAACTAAAAGTTCTGTCAATAAAGTTGTCAGGTCTCCATTATTTTTCCAAGTTAATCTTCATGGTTATTTTTTTCAAAGTTAATCTTTCCTAATTGTTTTTCCAAGTTATTATCTATGATTAAATTACTTAACCATGAAAATTTTCTAGATAGCTTTGTTAGCTTGTAGCTTGGTTGGGTTGTGCTACTTTTACATTATATCTCCAAGTCTATTTTTTCTCCATGGTTAAATTTACTTCTCCAATACATCTCCATGTTTTTTTTTCTCCATGATTAATTTCACTTAACATTTTTAGCCTCCACGTTGCATTTAGTTTTTACTCCAAAATCTAGATGGCTAAGATGATAAAAGTGATAAAGTTCATTTCATTTTATTAACTATAAAATCATTAAACATTACATAGTAGAAATATAACTCCAAGATACATCAAACATGAATACAAGGATTGCTGTCATGATCTTGTATTCTTGGCTTATCAAACAAGTATTGACCTTGAGAGGTAGCACAAGCTCTTCTAGGCTGAATCTCACCAAAAAAGGATATTGCTATGAAATAAATAAGAGAAGTCCACATTAATATACCGAGAGTTTTTATGGAAATGGAGATTTCCCATTATGTCAACCAAATTATCACCCATCACTATTTTTAGTGCAAAGCTATTGCTATTGTTATCTATTTTTGGGACCCACCCAAAGAAAAGGGGCCAAGCCATGGTCGGACCCAAAAGAAGAGGAATCCTGGCCAGCCCCCAAAAAGAGGCCAAGCCGTGGCTAGACCCAAAACAAATGGGGTCCTGACTGGTTGTTGGTTAATTTCACAAGTGCACAAATCATAACAAGTAATAAAGTAATGAATAGAGTATTTTCCCACGATAATTTGTAAAAATTACTACTACTTACTGAAGTCTTTTAAATTATAATCTATTTAAGGAATTGAATAAGATAGTTTATGAAACAAAAATTAATGATTAAAAATAAACAACCAATTGATTAAATATAATGAATTCAATTGCTCTGATTCTAGGATTTCTGACTTACCGTAACTATTCCTATGTGAACTTTCTCAATTGAATTAATTACTTCTAGCATTGACAATCAGGTTTTTCTAATTTATATATTAATCTCTCTTAAGTATCAATGAGTTATTTCAAAAAGCAAACTTTATATACTCTATAAAAGTTCTGAATTTGTTGAAATTTATTAAGTATCGTAAAACTTGTAACGATTATAAAAGTTCCTGAGATATCTTTATCATATGGATTTATTAAGGTATTTCAAACAATAGCTAAAAAAATTATAATTTCTTAGTCTCAAATTGAATTCCAAATCATGCAGATGTTGGCCAAACATACACAAAAATTAAATATAGAATGAAATATTCAATAACTTAATATAATTATTCAATCAAAGACATTGTTCACATATTCATCGTAAGGTTACATAAAAAATCCTAGAATAAAAGTCTACTCTATAGTTAAATTAAAAAGAAATAAATTTGATATGATGAACACCACTTAAAAGCAGCGAATGGTAGTAGAATAGATAGGTGTCCTTTAATTTTCTCTGATTTTCATCCCTTGTTTTCTCTACTTTTTGTCTTCTGTTTTGTCTCACTTTTCACCTTTGTTTTGTGTTGCCTCCTCTCTTGTTTTTTGGTGTGTTCTAAGGTCTCTGTATATCCCCGGTTGAACTCTTCTTTTTCTCTTTTATATTCTGACCTTTTTACCCCCTAGCTGGTAAGAAGAAAATTTCCTCCTCTACTTCATATTCCTTTCCTTTTTGAATATTGTGGGCTAGATTTGAGGCAGAAAACGTGCAAATTCAAAGATCTCTATTTTTGGAGAAATTATAGAAAATCAATTCTTCTTTTCAACGATACTAATCTTGTAATTTTTGGACCTCTAAGGCTTGAAATATAGGCTATAACCCGAGACAACATTTGGAGTGCAGGAAGTTTGGGTTTGATTCAATCCTTGTTTTTTGACTCACTCTTCAGGCTTCGAAACAACAAAACTGAGTTATATGCCCTTTATATATTTTGTGGACCTATATCTCATATATTTGAAAATGATGATGAGCATCTAGAACTAAGTTGTATAGCTTTCTTTGCAACCTAAAATGAATCAATGTTTAGTTTTACTACTAGATTTTGCCTACTTAATAACCTAGTATCTAAAAACACATTAATTTCCCACGAGATTAATACTTCAAAAAAGATTCAAAATTCTAATTAACTTGTGCAACACATCAAAAATGTTTCAAAATCAAGCA